AGAAGGCTTCATACACTTCTGTAGTAGAAGGTACAACCTTCTTCCTCTTGAGACCCATTTTTCCAGACTGCTGGCTCTGTCAGCATGAAAAAGAAGGTGGGAGAAATTACACTAGTAAAACAGGAGTTCTAGTAGTAGTAGTAGTAGTAGTACTTTTTCCTTTTCTACTACTGTTCGAGGCGCATTAAATCAGAGTAAAACCATACCACACCCACAGGGCAAAAGTGCATTCTACTCAAACACCAAAAAAGATTAGTAATACTACTAGTAGTACTAGTAGCATCACACTTAATTTTATGTCCAGTATTCAGTACTGGATCATAGTACATAAATATACTAGTTTTCAATCACTTTTGGTTTACCCTAAAGAACAGCAGTTCAACAATACTAGTAAGCTAACCACAACAGATTTGGTAACCACAAGGCCTCTAATGAGATCCCATTTTGGGATATAGTACTACTACTCAGTCATAGTAGTGTTATGAAGATTGGTGTGTGTCATTGTTACATGAATAGCAGTCCTGGGTGAAGCCAACAGCAAATTAGTAATAGCCAGTCTTGTTATTGCCAAATTTTGCTATTTTCAGAGACCACCAGCTGTGTTACAAAATAGTCCACCAGAACTTTATCTCACAAAAACAACTCAAGAACACCAGACTAACAAGCACCCAGTCCAAGTATTAACCTAAGAAAGGTTGGTGTCATTGGGAACCCTACTATCATGTGCAAGTAGCAGTACTACTACTTGTAGTACTAGTAGTAGAAGCGGCATGATATCACCAGATATGCATTTTGAGTCCTCAAAATGGTGACCATTGTTGTAAAATCAAAATGGCATGATTTAAAGGGGGCTCTGTTTGAAGGCTTATGACTTTATTGGTCATGCAAGAATTAATGGTACAATGCATTTGAATAGTACTACTAGTACAAAAGACAAATATTAAAAAAGAACCATCCCAATTATTTTAGTAGTACTAGTAGCTTTTTTTTAAAGCTTGTTAGGAGACTGTTATTCTTGGACGGAGGAAGTGCGTGCAAAATACGTATTAACCTGCAAAGTGTACATACTCCTTAGTGTCACATAAAGGGATGTTTGAGTGTGGTGATTGTTCACTCACTATCTACTCGTGATTTACGTGTTACTGGCTCACAGTGCGTACGGTACGGTAAGAAGGAAAAATTAATATGCTACAGTTCTTTGTATGTACAATACTGTAATAGTCGAACGGTACAATACGTACGTAGCTTACGTAAAGTAAAATGACCCTATCAATTGACAAGTTCAAAATTTGAGAGAAATATTTTTGTTCCTTCATCCCATGCTTAACGAAATCTGTTCTTGATCGATGACAGAAGATCAAAGATCGATGCCAACACGATAGATGTTCACACTTGTGTAGTAAATTGCAACTTTCCTGCTCCCTCCTAATGGATTTCAAAGATATCTGACCCAAATTCAATTACCATCGTTCAGCAGCCTCGCGACAACCAGAGATGAACGAATCATGAGAAGATACGATTGTCATCAACCACGTCGATTGCTCTTCGACGTTCTGTTTAGGTTTGTCCTTGTTGGCACCCTTTTCATCTTCATAAAAATTCAGACGGTGCTGACTAGTTTTGACGGCGGGATCATGTTTTCGGCAACCAGTAGCACGCGCTCGGTGGTTTCAATTTCGAAGAAGGCAGCAAGCTTCGGCGTTGCTAGACGAGGAACAAAAGGAATCCTGGAAAGATTCCCATTTGCATGGCCCCCGGTCGTTTTCGCATCGACATTGCCCCAAGCTGCAACATCTTTTGGTGTTCGCCGATTCCATTTTGGTGCGAAAGGGTCCCTTYCATCGTCGGTATCGAGGCTATTGGACGCGGAACTTTCCCGTGGAGGCTCGCAGGAGCACTTTGGGCAGCAGCGAAGGAAAGGCAGTGGTGCGCAACCGACGGGCGACGGCCAAAACACTAGCAGCAGCGATGGGGAGCAGCACGGGGGGSTCAATCCTTTTTCATCTCTGCTCCGGACGCATTCCAGGGTTTCYAAGGCTGTGCGCCAGGGAGCCGGTGCCGTCTTCTCCCTTGCGGGATTCATCGGATCCAGCGTCGTCACGCTGACCACCGACCGGCGATCGTTCAGGGATCGATTCGTGGAACCCGTTCGAGCCCTGAAAAACTACTTGAAAACATCGGGGTGAGTGAGCGAGCTGCGTGTATCGATGTCATCGTATGGCATAAATTCTTTTGGTTTTGTGGAATTCTTGCTGAACGATTTCTTTGCTTCTCGTGCGTTCACTATATCATTTTGTGATTGTGCGAACATTAGTGTGGACAATGAACTAGCGAAAAGCTATAATCGCCGATTGGGGGTTAATTTATGTTTGTTGGCACGAGTTCACATGCACCAAGGAGCCGAGGAACGGCTGTTGAGACGTGTCCACTTGTACCGCGGGGCCGAAGAACAAACGGAGACGAAAACGAAGAAGCATAGATTGCTTCTGGGTGCCAGCAGTTTTATTTCTTCCGAGTTTTCGTCATCGCTGTCACCACCGCCGTGTTCCAAAATAAAACGCTCTCTTTTGGAAGAAGCACGACGATACATGAAATACGCCACGGCCGTTTACGGGCAGGCCATGATCAATGCAGCCCAAGTGGACGCTGGAGGACGCCTCGATGGAAAGGTTGGTCGGGTAACAAAAGAGACAATCAGTGCCCACATTCAAGTTCCGGAGGACGATATCGTATTGCTGGATGTTTCAAATCTAAAGGGAAGTTCCAATCACTTGAGACACATGGTAGTAGTAGATCACGAGCACGAAAAAGTAGTTCTGAGCATCCGGGGGACCTTCAGTCTCGAAGAGATCATAATGGATGTGGCGGCCTTTAGCCGGGAATTTTGCGGGGGCGAAGCRCACTCGGAAATGGCAAACATGGCGGAACGTGTTTGGACGGTGGCCGGACCCAAGATCAAAGAGGTTCTCAGTGAAAACCCTGGCTACGAATTCATTTTAACGGGTCATTCTCTCGGTGCCGGCGCTGCTTGCTTGCTTTCGATACTCGTCCAGAACAAGAAATTCCTTCCCAGGGAGCAAGGGATTCGKTGCTTTGCTTTTGCGTCCCCGCCTGTCTATACGCCTCTGGAATTCGTTCCCAAAACGGTTCGGTCTACCACMAATTTCGTTCACGAGAACGACGTCGTCCCGTTTCTGTCCATCCAGAAAGTGCGCAAGCTGCTGAGCAGCCTCCAGGCGGTGGACCAGTACGCCCGCGACCACATGTCCGGCAAACAAATCACGAGCTTGATCCTTGGGGCATCGCCGCCACCCAAGGACCTGATTGCGTCGGTGCTGGAAGCGGAGGGCTCCCGCCTGGTTCCGAAGAAGGGCGCCCCGACGCTGTACATCCCCGCGGAAACCGTTGTCCTCCTGAAGGAGAACCTCGACGAAAAGGGCGAACACTCCGACGGAAGCTACCGGTACGAGCTGACGAACGCCAGAGAGCTGTCGCAGCGAGAAATACGTGTCTATCCGGACATGTTCGTCGACCACTTTCCGTCCCGCTACGAACACGTATTCGACCACCTCGAGAAACGCGACGACGACGACGACGACGACGAGTAAACGAATCTCACGCAAGGGGCCACTGTGTGGTTACAATAGATCTAGAAACTCGTTGTCGAAAGGCAGGAACTCCTTTCTTCCTCAGTATCGATTTTGATGTTGTGAAACAAATAGCTACTTTTAAACTAACAAAGCAGTCGACGCGCACGCCGTCCAATATTCCAACGAAGCTCTGAAAGGCAACGCATTCGCCATCTTTTCTGCACCGAGAACGGTTCCGCATCCGTGTTTGGCGCCCGGCGGGGCTCGTCCTCTGGGGACCACCACCACCACCACCACCCTCCGGCGGGCCCCTGCCGTTCTGGCTTGGCGGAAACGGGGACGCGGGCGCCCCCCCCCCTCAGGGGTCCTCCCCCCGCTCCCGGAGGGCTTCCGCCAGTTCCTCCAGCAGGCGCGACACCAGGGCCTTGCTGAGGCCCATGACCGAGTCCTCCGTCCCGTCGATCCGGTCCAGGCACTCCTTCGTCAGCGGGTGCTCGATCATCAGCCCCCCCGCGCAGCTCAGGACGGGCTCGCCCATCTCGACCAGGGCGTCGACCAGGGCCGCGGCCCCCCCGCCGCCCAGGCGGTCCCTTTCGAAGTGGATGGTCGCCGTGTCGACGCCCTCCACCCGGATCCCGCTGGGGTGGTGGTAGAGGACGACCGATCCGACGGTGCTGGGCGGGGCCGAGGCGTACCCGGCGACGAACTCCCGGGCCTGCTCGACCGACTCGGGTTTTTCCAGGATGCTCCCCCCGCAGGTGACGACCTGGTCGCCCGCCAGGACCACCCACCCGGTTCCGCTCGAAGGGGCCTCCGGGAGGTCGTCGGGGCTTCCCTCTCTGAGTTCCTCGACCAGCCGGTCCATCTTGGCGTTGGCCAGGAGCAGGACCAGCTCCTCCGGGGGGGCGTTCTCCGACCGGTCTCCCAAGGCCTTCTCGTCGATGGGCCGGACGAACTTGGAGTAGGGGACCCCCATCTCGCCGAGGATGAGCTTGCGGGTAAAGCTGGCGCTCCCCAGCAGCAGGGGCTCCGGGAGGCCCAGCCTGGCGAGGGGGTTGGCCTCGCTCTGGTCCCCGCTTGCTGSTTCTGCCGCCATGCTGGTGGTTGTGGTTGTGGTKGTGGTGCGGACGGAGGAAAGGCCCCTGGCTAGCAGACCCTTTGCCCAAGGAACGGAGCGGGTGGCCCGAAAGGACTGGATCGTTTCGAATCGATACAGAAGAACAACTGCTACTAGTGGGAACAAGAGACACCGATTGGTCCGAACAACGGTCATGCTTTGTCGCGGGGCAAACAGAGACTCCGGGCGGGTTTGGTTTGTGGATGCATGCGAGTGCCAGCGTCCGATCGGATCTGTTGCTCCGGCCCTCGGTGGGGATCGTCTTCGGAAGCACAGGGCTAGCTAGCTACTGTAGTTCGTAGCTGAAAGCGTCAAGAAAGCGTCGTTCGTACCGTAGTCTACTTAGTACTTCGTACTTCGCATGTTATTGTATTGTACGGTATACTACGCTCCCTACTCTAGCGCTACGTAACTCCAAACGGTGTTCCGAAGTCTCTTATGGCATTTCGATGGATCTGATTGAGTCACGAGTATATCAATCCCGCTTCTGACACCCCTGCGGGCTCACGACATCGTCTTCGTCTTCGTTCTGGATCTTGYTCTCTCGTTCGAAGCACGATGCAGCACCAACAATGGCATTGTTGTTTCCCGGCTTCTCCCAAGGAACCGAAKCACCTCTATATACCATAGGKCACGCGGAGACTCGGAGCCAGTATGCCACGCGGGTAATGGAAGCGAGCCAGAGTCCTTTCCGGGAGACGCAGCCGTTCTGAATGTCCTCCCACGGCAACGCGGCTGTAGCGGCAGCCCGCAGCGACAAGGGCAGCGACAGCACCAGCRAGAAAGACAAAGACAAGGACCAGAACAGCGACAAGGACAGCGGCAGCGGCAGCAGCGAGGATGCCGTCGAGTGGGAAGACTCGAGGGCTTCGCTCCGGGAGGCCCTGGAAGCCAACCGCGAGCTCCGGAACCGGGTGCTGCTGGAACTGGAGGAGACGGCCCGGTCCAAGCGCGACAACCGGCTGGARGCGGCGACCTGCACCCGAAGGCTCWGCGAGGCGGTCCTGGCGGGAGAGGCGAGACCGCCGCTTCACGGAGAAGGCAGCCGCAGCYGGCCGCCGCCGRMTTCGGCCGGAAAACCGTCCAAAAAGAGAAAGAAGAACCACCGGGAGGACGACGACTACGTGCCCACCAGCGAGGAAATCGATCGGCTCCTGGCCGGCGACGCCTTGGCGGCCGATCGGACCTACGAAAAAAAGGCCGACACCAAGCGCCAGAAGTGGTCGATCTACCAGCGAAAGAAGTTCCGCTTCGACCCCTACCGGAAGTGGACCCTGGACTACTTTGCKGACCCGGTGGGGTCCCGCCCGGGGGAAAACGCGGACGTTCTCCGGAGGAAGAGGCTCATGACGAAGAGGGAGAGGCCGGTCCCGGGCCGGRAAGGGCAGGAAGAGGAAGGGGTTCCCGACACGTTCTTTCACCATACGTCGCAGCCGTTCACACCGCAGGAAATGGCCCGTCTCGACAAATGGCTGCGCGAAASCAACACCACCAGCAACAACAATGGATGCGRCAGCGCGAACGGAAGTGCCTCCGACCCGTTCTTCTACGAGCGCATCGCGCAAAAGCTCCGGGACGAGCACCACGGAGACCCGGTCCAGAGGAAACGAGACAAGGTCTTGCTGCCGACCTGTCTGCCGCGATCCGCCGAGGAAATACGGCTGTACCACAGGGACCGCCTCGCTTCGGGSCACGCCTTTTCCAAGCAGGAATCCCTCGCCATTCTCGAGAGCGTCGCGGCGGAACCGGGTCCTCCGAGCGACGACGGGGACGGGGTCGATCGCAGCGATGGAAAGGGCAACGGCAACGGCGACGGCGACCACGATTCCGGYGARAACCGTTCGAAAGACCCCGCGCGGCCGGAACGGCCAGCGGCGGGGCCCGACTGGAAAGCGATCTGCGAGCGCGTGCTGGAGGTCCACCGGGCCTCTCGCTCCGGGGCGGMTCCGGGGGAGGACGGCGTTGGCCCGGCCCGMGGCGGGGAGGGGGATCCACYGATCACCCCCTACCGCTGCATGGTCCACTACAAGACGAAACTCCGCCGGAGGCCCGACGGGTCCTTCACCCCCGAGGAGGACGAGCTCCTCCTCCGGTACATTGCCGCRATGGGGCCGCAGTTCGTCTGGGGGAACCTCGAGATCGCCGACCTCGCCAGCCGGCTCTTCCCGACCAAGTCCGTCCGGAGGATCTACGAGCGGACCCACTACTCGCAGTGGCACCCCCTGTCGAAGGACACGATATGGACCAAGGARGAGGAACAGAAACTGGTCCTGGCCATGAAGGTGTACTCCGAGGTCGGAAGCACCGCCATTGCCAATAGCGACAGGGGAGGAGGCCCGGGTGACGGCGTCGGCGGCGGCGACGATGCCACCCCCGGTGGAAACCGGCCGGAATCGAGGCGCGTGGCGCTGGAAAAGGCGGCCGTCCGTAGGGCGGCGGCGCACTTCCACCCGCAGCGGCAGGTCTACAAGGTGGTCAAGAAGTGGGAGCGGTCCTTCAGCCCGCGGTACTCCTACCGGCCCTTCTCGCGGGAGGAGGACGCCAGGCTCCTGGAGGCCGTCCGGTCCTCGGCCGCGAACACGCCCTTCTCGGAGATCGCCCGGAAGCACTTCCCCAACCGGTCCAGCGACCAGCTCGGCCAGCGCTGGAGCAAGATCGCCCCGGACGACGACGTGGTCGAGCAGCTGGTCCCCTCCCTGATCCGGACCGGGGTCAAGCGGGGGCTGGTGGGAACGGYGGCAAGGACGACCCGCGGAAGGGCCGAGCTCTTCGACACGAACGATTTCGTCGTCGAGGTTCTGCCGGGAAGGGACAAGGGCTCCTTCGCCGGGGGGGAAAGCGGTCGCGGTGCCTGCAACGCGAAYGCGAGCGCAATCCTTGGCGAAACCGATGGGGAAACCCCGGCACGCTAGCGGTCGTCCATCGCTGGGTGCTCGGTTGGCTCCGGTCGGAAGCAATGCGTATGCGCTGTCGCTGTCGCTGTCGCTGTCGCTGTCGCTGTCGCTGTCGCTGTCACTGTCGCTGTCGCTGCGAACAAAGACGTTTGGGACCGCGCGGACCGCAGTGGACGGATTGCCGATTTCGACGCCATTGTTCTGCTCTCTTCAAAGCCATTGCTTGTCGATCCCTTGTTCTGATACTTTGATGGCTTGTACCGGTAGCATTATCCTCGCTGAAGTCAAACAATTGCAAGAAATTCCATTAAGGTTTCTTCTTCCTAGTCATCATCATGGCCTTGTTGTTTTTGGTGGTGGTGGAAGGAGCAGGACTCCTCCTTACTAGCTGCTACTAGTAGGAGGGGGATTGAAACCCAGCAGAAAAGGAGATCAGATAAATCAGATAGTACTAGGAGGTAATGATCAAAGACTTCTTCAATATTATCATATGTGGTGAGATAAGCTTACAAGATGATAATAGGTCACAAGACATCACCCACTCGGTGCTACTACTAGTAGTACTACTAGTACTAGTATTCGTACTATCCATTAGTAGTAGTAGTAGTAGTAGTAGTAGCAGCAGCAGTAGTACGCTCTTGAGGCCATTTGAGTTTTTGTTACACGTGGAATGTATGTAGAATTTTGTTTGAGATCCGACAGACGTCCAACCAACTACTGTAGATGATGCTGTTTCGAGTACGAGTATTTACTACGTGGTATTTGTACTGCCTTACACATACGCGCCACACTCCCATCACCAACGCAGATCTACGGTACTCGTACGTATGGCAGACACGTTGGAGCGATGGATGACATGAATATCTCATCACCAAATCAGAATCAGAAAAGCGTTCGACAACATCATCATCAGCATCATCTTCTTTATGTTGTGTGCWTCCATCATCTCCGGTATCGCAGCTTTCCTTTGTCGACACGACGAGCGATAGACGATAAAGATATAGTAGTACTATTGTTGGAATAAGATATCTCAACAAAAATACCTTGCAGTTTGATCTTCCCTTGACGTGCAATCCTGCCTTCCCACATATCTACTACTGTCGCGTCTTCTTTAAAAACGAAAACGTCAGTTGGCAATATTTACATCATGCGATTCACAACGATGGCGATTCTATCCGTCTTGGCTGCAACCGTAAGGCAAAGCAGGGGATTTTTGCCCACCGAGCAATTGCGAAGAGCGGCTGTCACAATTCCATCGGTCGTTCGACGATCGAATTCCTTGCAGCTTTCGAWAGCATTGACACGTTGTCGCAGCACCTCGGCTCTGTTTGGCAGTGACGATATCCTTGGAACCCCCGCAACCACAACAGACGACGGGAAAAGGCCCTTCCAAATCACAACGCCCATATACTACGTCAACGACAAGCCGCACATCGGGCACGCCTACACCAGTACGGCATGTGATGTACTGGCTCGATTTATGCGTCTGAGCGGACGAGAAGTATTCTTTCTTAGCGGAACCGACGAACACGGCCAGGTACGTCATGCCGAAGACAAGATCTATTTTCATGACTGGTATACGTAGGACGAAATATTTGACTTTCAGGTTCTGTGCATTCTTTCAGTTCGTATCATTCGTGCCCGAATCTCAAAAATATTTGTTTTTCACACCATGTCCATCACGACTTTTGATTCGATTTTTTCTTTGGTATCGGCGTTTGTTGTGATTTAATCGACTGTTTGGTGAATTTATGCTGGTGTTCAAAAACAAAATAAAAACGACAGAAAGTGGAGCAATCGGCAGAGAAGAGGGGGATTCCACCTCAAGAATTCGTCGACGAGGTCTCCGTCAGTTTCACAGAATTATTGGATCTTTTGGAAATTACGAATGATAAATTCATTCGAACGACAGAAGACGCCCACAAGGAGTCTGTTCAGCATTTATGGAAGTCACTTGTAGATAAGGGTTACATTTACAAGGGAACATACAGTGGATGGTATTCCGTCCGGGACGAATGCTTTTACAACGAGTCGGAACTGGTCGACGGAAAAGCCCCGACCGGTGCCGAGGTTGAGTGGGTTGCAAAGGAAGAGTCCTATTTCTTCAAGCTAAGCGCCTTTGAGGAAAAATTGATGGAATACTATGACGCAAACCCTGATTTCATCGCACCAAAGACCCGCCGTAACGAGGTTACCGCCTTTGTTGAAGGCGGTTTGAGGGATCTGTCGATTAGCCGAACATCATTTTCGTGGGGGGTTCCGGTCCCAGACGACGACGAGCACATCATGTATGTTTGGATGGACGCCCTTACAAATTACATTTCTGCGCTCGGATACCCAAACACCGACGCCGAATCGGAATACTCCAAATACTGGCCGGCGGCGCTCCATGTTGTCGGAAAGGACATCCTTCGCTTCCATGCCGTGTACTGGCCGGCATTCTTGATGGCAGCGGACCTGCCCCTCCCAAAGCGCATTTTTGCACACGGATGGTGGACCAAGGAYGGAGAAAAAATCTCGAAGTCCTTAGGCAATGTTATCGATCCCGTAGACCTTGTGGAGAAGGTAAGCAACATGCYTGGAATACAAATTTGATTCGGCGTTGATGATRTATTTYTTTCTAATTTGTTTGATTCGATTTCTTTCTGGAACATTTTTTATTAACAGTACGGTGTGGATCAAACCCGTTTCTTCCTCATGGCCGAAACGAACTTTGGTAGCGACGGAGATTTTTCCGATAACTCAATGATTCTCAAGGTTAACAACAACCTTGCCAACGAGCTCGGAAACCTCTGCCAACGGACGCTCTCGATGGTCTTCAAGAACTGCGGCAAAGCCTCACCAACGCCCGGCGACTTCACCGAGGAAGACGAGGCGTTGCTTGCATCTGCCCGTGGTCTGCACGAACGGTGTGCGGCGGCCGTTTCGGAGCAAAAGATCCAGGGCTACGCCAACGAGCTCATTCAGATGGTATGGGACGCAAACAAATACATCGATACCATGGCCCCATGGGTTCTCCGCAAAACGGACGAGGAGCGCATGKCCACGGTACTGTATGTGATCATGGAAGTCTTGCGGCACGTTGCCATTTTGTACCAACCGATCATCCCAGGATCTGCCGGCAAGATCTTGGATCTCTTGTCGGTACCTGAAGACCAGCGATCCTTTGAACATCTGGAAGGGGACGAATATAAAATCAAACCAGAAACTCCTATTAGCAAACCACAAGGAGTCTTCCCAAGGATCGAAGTACCAGAACTTGTGGAGTCATGATGTGTGCTTAACGCAAATCAATTCAAAACCATCACGCGTTCACATTGCGTTGCTCATAATTAAACACTGTATTCATAMCAACGACTACCTTGTTTCTTGAAACAAATTTCTGGTAGTAACAATTGCGTATCGTGGCATTWGGGACACCATGAGATTAAACAATAYAAGCTACATCTTCTATCTATAACAAATGCTGTGATTCACGTCTCAGTTCAATGGAAGAGCAGCATTAATTGCGTTACATATGTGGGTAAAGGCTTACAGCGTGAAGCTCTCGGGGTTGTTTTCTGCTTYGAAAACAGAGTGAATGTTCACATTTTCGSGCAGATGTGGGATCTGATTTCKACCCACGTTTCTTCGTAGTTATTACATTCTTCAGTAGTAGAACAAGCCAAATGATACCGTCCAGAAGAYCATTTTTCGATTAATCCCTTTATGCCTCGTAAATAGGAGCAATAAGAGGGTGCCATTGGTGCATCCATGCACAAAGCCTGATGAAATATCGCAAACAAAGAACACCATGTTGTGAGTATCAACGTATTTGGGTCAAAATCGYGCCGACGCCGGTTTCACAAATAGACAACCARGTAGGAAATTGGACCACTGAGTAACAGCATGGAGAAGTACTTCGGTGCTCTGAGCACACAGGGATTCTACATCTTCGAAACGATGCAGTTCGTTTCTATGAGTGATTAATTAAGTACTTTGAAAYATCGTCAAAAAATCATGCCTCAACAGTAATTCTTTTCTTGGTATGTATTCCAAGACTTAATAACMGCACTGCGTTAATTTTCTTGTCCGTCCTAAAGGAACGGTACCGACTCTCCAGACAGAATCAAGACTCGAGTGGTGATCGTTGGAATTCCAACAACTTACCAAAATAGCCACATTGAAAATACGGAAATKACAACGACAACGTTGCCGGTTCTGCGATAACAAATGGAAAAACAAGAAAAGATAAAATTAGTATTTTGCGTCACGGCTCCAACATCCCGTGYGCATAGGCCAGCGGGAGAATACGCCACAACTCGGAAMGATCAAGACTCACGCGGCGTCGTCCTTGCTTAGCTTTCCGACCCCCCTGGATGCTTGGACAATCCCAAGCAAAATCGCACCTAATACAAGGTAAGCGATTGATCCAGTTACAAGTGTTGCTGGTATGGCCATGGTTCTATTGTATATCTTAATACTGGTCTGATGTTACGCAATTGCTTCTGCTACACAACGCTTTGGAAATCGGAGATCAATCGAGGTATTCCACAAAAAGGACACACGAGAGACATTATTTTTCCACAACGGCAAGCAGCATATTGTCGTTGTTTTCCAGTCTTCGGCTAGCTCATTGGTACGGTTATTGTTCGACCTGCGCAAAATCTATTTCTTTATACAGAAACGTATATTATTCATTAATTGATCACATCGACTCTGCGCGATTCTGGAAACCCAAAGGAATTTCACCGACCCCCAGCCCCCAAATTGAAAACAATTCTGTGACTTTCCCCGTCCTGCCAAACCACGATTTTCACCCGCAGGTTCGACAGTACGAGTACTCGTACCGTACGTAGTTTACAAGTTTTGATTTCGAACCGATCATTCACGGAACACATCTGCGTACTCTAGGTCGACATAAATCACGATGCTTCCCTCTGGACGAGGAGCGACGATCTTGCGGTGTTCACAGCCAATCTTCCTGCGGATACCGGCCGTGTCGGCACAACGACATCCTCTCTGTCGGCATGAGCTTGCGTTCAGTGAGTCCATGGCCTTCGATGCTGTCCACCCACAACAAAGAAGTCATTCTCGTTTGGCAGCTTTGTCGTGCGGAACAAAAATATGTCAGTCGCAGCAGTATCGGTTCAAACCGACAATTAAACCTTTTCCGATTGACGGTCACAGTAACACAAAGACGACTGGCAAAAGTATTTCTACCAGATTCCTATCCGACTGCGCTAGTTTTCAGAACGATCCCGAAGACGTCCAAAATTCGGAAAACGAGGAAATGGAATCGCACAACGATTATTCTGTCACTATAACAAAAGACGGACAAGCAATATGCATAAGCTCTTTTTGCAGAAACCTCTGTGGTGACGGCAGAGAATCAAGCGAAGATTCATGGGAATTTGCTTCGTCCTTGCTTTGGGTCAACGATCCACAGTACATACATACTAGTTCGGGACAACGGCTGCGCACACTGGGGCAATACTCGAGGGGATTTGAGATTKTGCGTGCCCGACTCCTCTTCGTCGACACAGACGACTCGTTTGTCGACGGTGCTGATTGTGCCGACAGCAGCACGAGCTTGCATCCCGCCCCTCCAAGAGGGAGCATGCACTCGAGGGGAGGCCTGTACGACATCGCCTCCGATTGTCTTGAGAAAACAAAAGACAAGGGAAGAACGTTGGTGCAACTTGAATGGAATTATGGGGAAGAATCCATTTTCGATTTGGTATGGCTGATCGATCACGCCCGCAACAATTGTTTGGGTCAGGACATATCAAGCAAATCAAAGAGTGCCATTAAAACAATACAAGTACGCTCCGAAAGTAGAAAACGGCCGTGTGAGAGATTCAGTCTATCGACTGCCGTATCGAAAGAAATTGCAATAGGTGCAATGGACAATCCAAGAAGCACACCTGTCTCGAGTTTTGATTACAAAGAAATATTGGAGAACGATGAAGTTCTCTTCGAAGGAATGCAAGATGTATTTGAGGCCGGAGTTATTTTGATAAGAAACGCACCGGATTTAGTGAAAACAAAAAACGAAAGAAGAACCGGATACAGCTCGCTAGATGAAGTCGAATCATCAAGAATGTCGGAATCGATTGTCGGGAATCTTGGAAGACGGTTTTCCGGCGGCACTCTTTCTCATGGATCTCTATATGGAGATATTTTTCACGTACAGAGCAAGCACGATCCCGAAAATATTGCTTATACCAACGTGGCTTTGCCCCCCCACCAAGATCTGACGTATTATGAATCAAAACCATTCTTGCAACTTTTGCATTGCGCGACAAACAGCCGCGACGACAGCAATTATATTGTTGGAGGCGAATCTATCTTGATCGATGGTTTGGCTGCCGCAGAGGAACTGCGCCGAATATGTCCCGAGATCTTTGACGTACTTCTCAAGACCGAGGCAACATTTGTAAAGGAACGCCACGACGCAGATATGGTGAGCCCCAAACCCCATGTCGTAGTAGATCCTACATATGGACAAGTTGTGGAGGTGAACTGGAGTCCACCGTTCGAAGGCCCACTACAAATGAATCCGAGAGTCGCCGTAGAAGATTATATTCTAGCCTACCAGGCATTCGAGAGAATTGTGGACGATAACCACGATGGTACGAACAGCCATTCATCCTTGTTGTCCCAACCRCTCGAAAGAGTGCTAGGGGATTACGCAAAGGAGTATACCTGGGAATACGCTATGCGTGAGGGAGAGATTCTTGTTTTCAATAACCAACGAATGTTGCATGGTAGAAGATCATTTAGGTCTGTCGGAACCGTACAGCGACACTTGATTGGATGCTATACCGATGCTCTAGAAACTTCTAGTCGGTATCGCCAACTCTTGAGGGATAGGGAACGAAAGAACGGAGGAGGATACGGAAGAAGAAACACCGGGAGTGGGTGCCGTTGGATGTAGTGACTGGTTAATTGCAAACAAAACCGGCATGTTTCTCTCTTTTGACATCGGCCAATGGAGGCGAAGGTGATTAAAACCATGTTCAGAAACGTAGGCTTTCATAGAATATACACAGGTTTATTCCCAGTTTTTTTAATTTCGAATGATGCCTGAAGGTACCAAACAAAAAGCTACTTGTATTCCATTCTAAGAACCGTTGACCACATGCACTGATACTGAATTAGACTTCGGAAACTAGTAGTAGTACCTATAAGTTATTCTGATACTGCAGCAATTATTCCTAAATTAACTCTCAAGTTGTTTTGGTAAACTGCATTTGTTTACGAGGGTTACACCGCCTGCTGGAAAATAAGTGAGCATGCCAGGAAATTTATTTCACCCCTCTATTTTGATGTACTCGTAAGTATGGTACGTACGAGTACCGTACCATACTGTACGATAATATAAGCAGGGGTCTAAATTATGACCCCTGAATACGTACGAGTACCGTACCATACTGTACGATAATATAAGCAGGGGTCTAAATTATGACCCCTGAATATAAGTGAGCACGCTGCGAGTGGGGATTCATCCTGCATACTGTACGGTACTCATCTCAGGGGTACTCATCTACCGTACATGATGTATGTACCCTAGATATGTTACGATTATTTATTTTCAAAGGATATTGGATATTGGATATTTGAGTTTTGAAACTTTGGAAATCGATATCTCATATCACCGGAACTGCCATACCGGTATTTCGACTGAATTCCTGATGCCAAGACCATCATTTAGCACAAAGTTACAAAGCGCAAAGACATGGGTACTCAAATTACGCGACAAAAAGACTGATTTTGAAACATATTTATGGATCGAACCCTTTTTGCTTCTATCCAACTGAAAATTTTGTCGATTCGTTACAAAGCACATTCCATCAAAAGTGGAAACGAAAACACGGCACGTTTGAATGACATTGTGCCAAAGGATTTGAGACGCATCGTACTACCATGACTCTTAAAAAGTACATTCTCACATTGATCAAGGTATTTGGATTGTGTTTTTCATCTACAGCTGCGGAAGACGAGTCGTCACATGTACTAGGAACTTGTGCGGCAACGACAAAGCCAAGCGGCTGCAGCACAGAACCATCCTCTCCCACATACACCAACCTGCCAAGCGGTGCACAAAAATTCCAGGTCCGCAATGTTTACGATGGAGACACATYCACGCTAATTGACGAACGACGCGTGCGGTTGCTCGGTGTCGATACGCCGGAAATGAAGCCACCACAACCGTTTGCGAAGGAAGCCAAAGAGTACACGAAATTACGATGCAACAAAAAGGAGGTATGGCTACTGATTGATGGGAAAGATCACTACGATAGGATGCTGGCTCATGTGTTCGTCGAAGACACCAGCGGAAATTTTCTTTGCATCAACGAAGGCCTTGTACACGAGGGGTTTGCAAACGCATACATACCTAAAAAAGACAAAAAGACTTTCAATTGGAAGAAATTGCTAGATCTACAGCGTGGTGCGAGAGAAAACAAGCGTGGAATATGGAAATCCTTTGTTGACGCTACTGTCTATAAAACAACGAACGGATCGGCTTACCACAAGCGAACCTGTTCCCATCTTTCAAACATCCGAAAACTCATTGAGATCAAAATAAGCGAGGCTACCGATCAAGGCTTGCATCCTTGTCGAAGCTGCATGGTGGGCTAGCGATTTACAATTGTGCAATTCATACAATAGTTTGAGGCAATATAAAAGCTATAATGACCTAGGTTTAATTGTGCAAAGAAGTAGTGTGTGTGCGTGTATTATTGCACTTCTTGCATTATATGGAGTACGACCAGCAGTACCAGCAGTTTTTAATTCCAGAATTTCATGCTGAAGTGTTCTTATTCATCCTAGCACTTCTAGAATCCTGATATTMTTTATTCAAATGAACCAAAAATAATAAGATATTTGCAATCATGGGGGAGTGTGTGTAATGGTTGTTTGTGAAGAAAAAAATCAGGATTGGATGATGGCACTTTTGTGTGGGGATTTACTAGGGAGCCGGCCTGAATTCAAAATTAATTTCCCCCCCTCATTCCATTTTTTTCCCTCCAGAAAAAAAAAAAAAATTAAAAAGTTGCAACTTCGTCGAGTTGCATTTTCTTCGCTGCGTAGTCAATATCCAACACAAAAGGTCGAATGAGTCCAATGAACGAGTATCAATCCTCGAGACCTTTTCGAATTATGAGTTTTTAAGCCCGGCTTGCGTCCAACCAAGGCGACTTTTTTTTGTTCGAGCGCAATGCCGATATGTTGGTAGGAAGTGTACGGAGTGAAAGAATTAAAACAACAAGATGCTTACTCGTCTACACGTTACAAACGCGTTACCTTACAAATAAACACGAACCGTCACTAGTTCACTTCTTGACACACAGATATTCTGAGTTCGTCAGTTGAATCACGCTCTCTGCAGTATCCATCGTTGTCCACTTCTATTTCTTGATCACTACAGCGAGAAACCATTCCAGGTTAGAGGGAAGAAGCCGAGTTTTCAATTGACTGAAAAAAAGCAAAAAAATGATGGATCTCCTCCAGCAGCAGCGCGATTAAATTTCGAGGGAGGGAGAGAACCACTGGACTATGGTGTCGACGCCCAGGCAAACGCCGAGTGCTGGGAAACAAGAGGGGCCTTCCCGTCCACCTAGCCCTTCGCCATCGACGAGCAGTGTCAGTTCGACATCCTCGAGGGTCCTGGCTGCGAAATTGCACTCACTCGATCAAAACTGGAGTGCACACAAAGCCAAAACTCGATCTCCGATCAAATCTACGCCGCGTAACAAACGACCGCAAGCCAAGCGACGACCAGAGCCTTCTCCAGGATCAAACAGAACAAAGACGATTGTCAYAGCTAGAACCAGAAGCAACCGATCAGCAACCCAAMAAACAAATGTGAGTGGGATGGTTGGCCAAAAGAACGATGACGATTCTGTGGGAGACAACTCTGTCTCTACGCTCGGCTCGACTGAGTCGGTGTTCGATCGTTTGTATAGGCAAAGCATCCGTACTCCGCGGATCAAAACACCGGATAAGAATCGAAGGGTAGCTGGTTCTAGTGCAAGTGGTAGCAGACGTAGTTCTTTCGGATCGCCGGTAATTAGAAATAAGAAAGACCGACTGGGAGCTTATGGAAAGAGCCCAATTATTAATACGAAAAGTGCGGGGTATGGAGATAAAACACCTAGAAGGAGAACCAATCAAAGTAATCCCTCCTCGTCGTCAGTTTGTAAATCATCCGAACGCAAAAGCAGCGATCTCGAAAACATTGATACCTCTTCGGTTGCTAGCTCTATTTCTGAAGTGACCGATTGCGATGGAAATGCGTCTGTATTCAATAGATTGTATCACAACTCGAAACGGACAGAGAAATTGTGGAAGAAGCCAAAACAATTTACACCCATATTGTCGCCATCTAGCAATCGAAAAAGTAGGAGAAGTCACGGTAAAAAATCTAGGGGGAGCGCAGACAAAGCTGCAGAAAAACTTAAGGATCAACAGCAGCAAAATCAGTCAAAGAAAGCCGAAGACACTATAGTGAAGAAGAACAAGAATACAAACATCAAGGCTCACACGATATTGGAAAAAGACTGTGAACACAATTTTCAAATGAGAGCACAACTGGGGAATGGTGAAGTCGCGAGTAATTCATCTACAAATTTGGAGCAGTGTCAACAGGAGAATAATAAATTATCGGAGGAATATKTAGCCACGTCGTTAGCTAAAGATCTCAAAGCCGTCAATGAAATAGGGGCACTACTGCCAAAAGTTTATAGTGGTTGTTCTCCGACTGTGGCTGGAACGAGCGTTTCATCAACAAATTGGGAAGACGGTTTCGTTGTGGGGATCCGTTGCATATCACAAGTCGCAACTTCGGCAAACAAAGAGCTCAATGATCTTGTTGCTGTTGACAATCAATTGGAAACGACGAAAGCTGAACAAGAAGAATTTCTTTGCTCAACTGTTGTTTCAAACAAAAGCACAAACCAAGATCAGCCTTCAGTCACGCATCATGCCAGTGTTCCTGTAATGCACCAAAGTAATGTGGCCGTAGCGTCTGAAAACGATTCGTGTGTTGGTKCGCTATCTAATAAGGAAGGAGAATGTGTGGAGAAAGTTCATACAACGGGGCCTCCGTCGAGCAATGACACAATTTCAAGTAAAAGCTCTGCGTCGGACAACTCAGGCTTTTTCTCTCTAAAGTCAAATCGAAGCTACACCGTGGATCAAGCCATCCTACGAAAAAAAATKCTTTTCAAACGGGCAGATCATTCTTCTCCTTCAATATATCGGAAACATCGAGACAGTTTTGAGGAAACAACGAATCGGACTGAATCAGCGATCACTATTCAAAAAGCTTGGCGTGTAAACAGAGCTGAACTTCAATTGGCATCATCGATGATACACTCTTGGGATTCAAACATCCAGTTCGAATGCGACAGCTCAAATCTAAGGAATTATTTCATTCATAAACAACAAGCACTCGAACAAGCCGTTCGAGCAGCCAAATGTTGGTGGATACTGGAGGGTTTAGTGATAAAGGATAATTGGATCACTATCGTTTGGGAAAATGAAGTGCACGTCGGCGGAGGAGACATAAGGGTTAAAATCAATTTAACTTGCGRAGCTAAATCGCTTCTATTCGCTTCCCGACACTGGGACTCGATGAAACTGGCTCTTCTTCTTGTGAAGGCGTCGTTGAAAAAGGAAATCCGTAAAGAATATTCTGCTAGGCTGGTCGCAGAAAGGTGCCAACAGTCAAACGAGAAAACAGATAGAAGTGCTACCGTTTTGCAGCGCTGGTATCGAAAGCAGAAGCAAAGGAATTGCAGAAAAGAGCACGAACAGCCATTCGGAAACATCAGTGACAACACAGAGGACATAACTTTGTCTTCGATTCCGAAAGACATTAATTTTTCTTCAGACGATACAATATCATTAACCCGTGGTGAAAAAGCCGTCTCTGTGAATCAAAACGAAGCAATTTTGTCCTCACCCGAGGTATTACCCTTAGACCTCTACGAAAAGGTCATAGAGGACATTCCAACGAAGACAATGCCACTTGTTGACACATATTTGTACGAACATCATCTCGCTGCTACAAAGATTCAATGCTTCTTGAGACTCATTGTCCTCAAAGCAGCTGTCAAAGAATGGCCCTCTGCAATGGGGCAACTTCGAGCTGCTTTGCAGACTGCTGGATCATTATCATGGAGTCAAACAAATTCGCTCGACGAGTTCAAAGCTGCGAGAAACATTCTTTGTAATACAATCATCGCCAAACATCTTAGTGGTGCGAGATGTTCTTCGGTAGGAGCATCAACTTCCACTAATAGTGCATTTGAAAACGAGTTCATTTCACAACGAGCAGCATCTCGTGCAATTCACAACATCGTTCGAGCTCATTTGATCGGCCTGAAGAAATACAGAGACAAGAAGAGAGCGATATTGATCCAGGCAACTTTCCGAGGGTATAGCACAAGAAAAAGGCTCGAGCTCGAAGAATTTTCTGCTGTCGTAATTCAATTCGCCTGGAGTAATTGCAGATACATCGGGATTAGATCGAGGAATGCAACGAAAATCCAAAAGCTGTTCCGAATGGTAATCTATAGAAGGAACTACGAAATGAGTAGATTTTGCATAATTTACATACAAGCGGGATGGAGACGTGCAATTGCTGGAAGAAGATTGACGTTGGTAAGATCAGCATGCACATTGATCCAACGCATATGGAGAAGATCTAGAGACAGGAACGCGTATTTGAAATTCTATTCGGCGATTAGGTCGATACAATACAGGTTCAGAATCCAACTTACGGTCAAAATGTATCGTACAGAGTATTACGCTGCTTCGATAATGCAATCTTGGTGGAGAGGACGAATTGCACGACTACATCTGTTGAAATCTTTGGATGCATGCATATGTATACAGTCGCATGTTCGAAGTTTGATTCAGTGTCGGAAGTTTCACAATGCTCGATTCGATGTCATTATGATTCAGCGAACTTTGAGAACATTCAGGTGTTTGAAACAATTTGAAAGTCAGAAAAGATCTGCCCTCCAACTGCAGACACTTTTCAGAAAATCTCTTTCGATCAATTGTGCAGAAAGACGCCGTCAAAGCATAATCGATATTCAAAGGGTATACCGAGGCCACACATGTAAAAACATTTTGATGGAGTGCGTTCAAAATGCTACGACGGTCCAGAAGTACTGGAGACGTCATCGCGAACACGTTTCGTATCTCAATACAATTATAGCTGTCACGATAGTGCAATCTTTTGCACGATTTATCATYACACGCCACAGATTCCTGACTTCTTGCCAAGCAATAATTGATTTACAACGAGTAATTCGAGGATGGCATTGTAGGAATCAAATTCCTTTTTATAGAGAAGAAGCGCAAAAAGCATTAGCCGAACGACAATTATTTGGGGCAATCACTGTGCAGAGGATGTGGAGAACAGTCAGGGAAAGGCAGCGCTACAAATTTTTATTGCAATCAACAATTCTTTTGCAGAAAATCGCTCGAAAGATCCAGGCCCAATCTTTGTATACTAAAAGGCGAAATGCAGCTTGGACTATTCAGGCACGATGGAAAACGATGGTGGCAGAATCAAGGCTACGAAAGTTCAAGCTGGCATCGATCAAAATTCAATGCTTTTGGAGAGTTCATGCGGCTTCACAATTCGTAAATGTTATCAGAATGAAGAAATTCAATTCATCCTCTGTAATAATTCAATCGATGTGGCGAGGTACTATAAGACGCCATGAGTTTGAGGAATTGCGTATTGCCACAATCCTTGTTCAAACATTGATTCGCAGAAAGTTGGCAATGAACTCAATGAATATTTTACTTGAAGAAAGGCTGAAAAACAAGACTTCCATTTTGATTCAATCCCAATGGCGAAGTGCAGTGGCACGCGAGAGCTATGCTGTTGCTCGTGTTGCTGCTATCATGATCCAGGCATCTGCTCGAAGAATGTTGACTGTTGAACGTGCKAAGGCGTTGGTACGTCAAGATACATGCCAAGAAGCCAGCATCTTGATTCAAACGAAGTGGCGTGGACTGAAAAGGCGCGAAAGATATCAACAAGCTCGTGCATCCGCTATAATCATTCAAGCTCATATGCGAAGAATTTTGGGTTCAAAAATCGGCTACAAGTTAATGAACATTCGTTTGTCACAAGCATCTATCTTGGTTCAACGTTCTTGGCGTGGGGTGATCGCTAGAAAGAATTTTCTGAAGATTCGCAGTGCAGCCACAATCATTCAAGCGCATGCGAGAATGAYGAACGCAGTAAATAACAGTAAGGCTTTGAAATACGAAAAATCAGTTCAGAAATCTTCGATATTGATCCAGTCAGCATGGCGAGGAGCAATGGGTCGTTACCATTTCTACGAAGCCTTGTTTTCTGCAATTACCATACAGACGAATTTTCGAAGAATGATAGGGTCAAATCGGGCAAAACTCCGTCGAACATGTATTCAATCAGCTAGATTGATTCAATCTCATYGGAGAGGGGCAATCACTCGAGATCGCTACAGCCAAATTCGCGTTGCAGCGATCATGATTCAAGCGTCGCTTCGTGGAATGTTAACTCGAAGAAGGCACAAATTAATTCAAAAATGCACCATATTGATACAATCTACATGGCGGGGGGCAATGTGCCGCTATCAGTATTATGAAGGTCTCGTTTATCTTTTTTCTGCAATTACCATACAAGCAGCTTTACGAAGAATGGTGGCATCAAAGCAAACTAAACGACTTAGAGCTACTATCCACGCAGAACAGGCAAGAAAAAGAGAAGAAGAATTGAAATTTAGGGAAGCTACAGAATCATCCACTCTGATTCAGTCACACTGGCGCGCTTGTCAGCAGCGTAGTAAATACATGCAGTGCAG